AAAAAAAAGAAAAGAAAAACTAAATTAAAAGTGAGAACTAATACATTTCAAAAGTAAATTATATTTTTCAAATTTCAAAAGTAATAATTAATAAATTACATTCTTGAAATTATGTTTAAAAATTATAATTCTAATTATAAATATTTACAATAAATTATATATATAAATATAATAATTCAATACAAATAGATCAAATCAAATAATCAAAAGTAACAAATTATATTTGCTTAAATAATTACTGTAACGCATCCAGATGTTTTACTTCAGAGTAGTTTTTCTCATTTATAAGATCATTTTTGATTCATCATTTTCGTTATTTTCAATGGCGGTTCTCCAAAAATACTGAACTACATAGATTTTTATTTAAAATCAACATGAATTCTGAGAGTGTAAAAAAATATTGCATTTAATTATTTGTAAATTTAAGCAATATACCATTATTTTGCCTACATTACAGTAATGAGAATATACTAATTCCAATATCATTTTCCCAGTAAAATTAGGTACAGTAAAGGTACGAGACAACTGTAACAGCACTCCGGTGCTGGAAAAGTCATTTAGGCTGTGATTCTTCCAGGGAAAAAAAAGTGTATTCCAGAAAGTATTCACAAAACAAGGATTTCAGAAGCTAGACTTGCTTACAAAAAAAACTCCCAAGATATGGCATTATGACTGTCATCTGCGGCCGGAGAGACAAATTGATATTTCAGAGGAGGTGATATGACAAATGGAGTGCCAGTCTAAACATACCTCTCCAAAACCTGGAGCACAATCAAGTGGCAGGACCATCAGAGCCGCGGCTAGACGCCTGTTCACAACCCCGCCGTCGCAATGGCAACAGGGACAGATTGCATCCACATCTGGTAGCGATTTCAGCTCGTGTGAAAGAAAAAAAAGCGAGAGGAGAAAGAAATTTATGAGTTAAGGTGGGAAAAAAAGACATTTTCTGCGATGCAAAGCAGAGGGTTGAGTTACACTTGAAAGAGGCTGAGAAATGCGTTTTGTTTGTTTGTTTGCTTTTGTCCTCAAACAGAATGGAAGCAATTTTTCATACTTCTGTAAGTTAAGAGAATCGAATGGAGCCATGCTGGTCCTCTGGAAAGCTGACACGCTTTGCCTGTTTAAGCAGGTTTTCCTCGGAAACAGACTATTCAGTGGGCGACAGACTCCAGAGAGAAAATGTTTGTATAAAGGCTGACAACAACATAACTTTAACAGAAATAATACGCTTATATTCTAGGTGGGAAAGCAAGAGCTCTTCCTGTATCAGTAGGATGTTTGGTCTCTAAAACGGGTTGTGCACCTTTAATATTTTCTTATTTCTTCTGAATTTCTGTTACAAAAGAGAAGAGGGATAATATTAGATAATAATGCAATGCTTCGGTTACCATAATTAATATATCATTGCATACACACCTTATTCTGGGTTAATTCAAACAATAACATGGTTTTGTCTTTATATAGTGTCCAAAAACCTTTGGACAAAAAGTTTTTGAGACCACAGATGCACTTAGCAACATCTTTCTGCCAAAGCTTTAGATAATAAAATATTAAAGCAAGGATTTAAAGGAGGAAACAACGTTTATTTATTTATTTATTTTTGTGTGTGAAATGTTTGGCTTGAAAAGTAAGTTCTACATAAATAATACATACACTACTGTTTGGGAAGTTTGGGAGT